GGAAGGGCGTGTCCTTTGTTCAGAAGCATCACGTTGGGAACGGAGGCGAAATTTGCTTCAGTCGTCAACCACTCGTTCATTGCCTTCAGCAGTAGAGTTTCCGCAGCAAACAGTTGCTGTCTCTTATACACATCTAGATGTGTATAAGAGACAAATTAAAAATATGGAAGAAGTAAAATATAGAATTTTGTCGTATCTACCAATCCGAAAGCTGTTGGAGTTGAACCTAACCGAATACCAACTATGGTTAGTATATAGAGAGATTCATCCCGAAGTCAAGTTGGACTCGAAAGTGAGTTATAGCAAATTTTTTAAGTTTGAAGATTTGTTGGATCGTAAGTTTAAAATGATACAAGACGTTGCAGTCGAGACTCGATATTACGTATTAGAAGCTGTCGAGGATATGCGAGAAAGGATTCTCAATATCATGAAGGACAATACCATAGAATGCAAGGATGACGTCGTAAGAACAGATTGGGACGATACAAGGCGCCTTATAAACGGTATCGTCATAAGTGAACAACTGTGTTGGCGAGCCTGTAAAACGGCTGAGAACGTTGAGGATGAATATTATCTACTATCGAGACCATCACCCAACCTAAAGACAAAGCTGCTAAAATTCATTAAAAACGTTACAAACTTGCGTTGTAAGACGGAAAGCGATTTGTACGAGATTCTACGAAACAACTTCCATGAAATTTATTTTAATTCTGTCGTATATAAAAATGGATATTCAAAGGGAAATTGACGAGTTTGGGTAGGACTTTCATTGAACTTTATGCAAAAGTTGCGGGTAAAGTAATTTCCATGGACTGTAAAATCAACGATAGGCTCTCCAAAATCCTACGTCATCGGTAACTTCTCTCTGCACAGCTTAACGTCATCGGGTGCTCCCAACACGAACAATATAAACTGACACGCACGCGAAGATCAGCACAGTCTTTTAGAAGAGCACTCACACATACACTCGCACGCACACCAATGATGTCTGCAGAGCTCTTGCCAAAGATCCACGAGAAGTTTTCTCCATGGACTATATGCGAGCGAAAGAGAGTGGATCGCCTTACAACAGCTGCTGTAATTTCCAGAGAGATCGCCAGGGAATTTATATCGTCGCCGGACACCGAATCGTCTCTCTCTCTTGATATGCCGAAACGAACGGAAAACTTTAGGTAAAATACAAAAAAATATATATAGAGGGTGACAGACACGTTTTATCGAACATCGGAAAATGGCTACAACTTCTTTCGTCCGAACGTATTCCGATATTCCACAATTTCGTCCGAACGTATTCCGATATTCCACAAAAACCCGTCTGTCGCATTCTCTCTACATAGCTTAACGTCATCGGGTGCGGCCAACACGTACAATATAAACTGCCAAGCACACGACGATTAACACAGTCCTTCCGAAGAGCTCACACGCACACATACGCACACAAAAATATAATTAAAAATATGGAAGAGGTAAAATATAGAATTTTGTCGTTTCTACCAATCCGAAAGCTGTTGGAGTTGAACCTAACCGAATACCAACTATGGTTAGTATATAGAGAGATTCATCCCGAAGTCAAGTGGAACTCGAAAGTGAGTTATAGCAAATTTTTTAAGTTTGAAGATTTGTTGGATCGTAAGTTTAAAATGATACAAGACGTTGCAGTCGAGACTCGAGATTACGTATTGGAAGCTGTCGAGGATATGCGAGAAAAGATTTTTAATATCATGAAGGACAATACCATAGAATGCAAGGATGCCGCCGTAAGATCAGATTGGGACGATACAAGGCGCCGAATAAACGGTGTCATCATAGGTGAAAAACTGTGTTGGCGAATCTGTAAAACGGTTGAGAACGTTGAGGATGAATATTATCTACTATCGAGACCATCACCCAACCTAAAGACAAAGCTGATGAAATTCATTAAAATCGTTACAAACTTGCGTTGTAAGACGGAGATCGATTTATACGAGATTCTACGAAACAACTTCCATGAAATTTATTTTAAATCTGTCGTATATAAAAATGGATATTCAAAGGGAAATTGACGAGTAGGACTTTCATTGAACTTTACGCAAAAGTTGCGGGTAAAGTAATTTCCATAAATTGTAAAATCAACGATAGGCTCTCCAAAATCCTACGTCATCGGTAACTTCTCTCTGCACAGCTTAACGTCATCGGGTGCTCCCAACACGAACAATATAAACTGACACGGACGCCAAGATCAGCACTGTCTTTTAAAAGAGCACTCACGCACACACTCGCACGCACACCAATGATGTCTGCAGAGCTCTTGCCAAAGATCTGGGAGAAGTTTTCTCCATGGACTATAGGCGAGCGAAAGAGAGTGGATCGCCTTACAACAGCTGCCGTAATTTCCAGAGAGATCGCCAGGGAATTCATATCGTCACCTGACACCGAATCGTCTCTCTCTCGATACGCCGAAACGATGCGAGAGGTCGCCGAAAAGATGGACGTTCGGCTAGGACTCCAATTGAATGCCGTCGCGGCGGTGATCGACTTCGAAGAAGACGGGTTCCCGGGTCTGTTTTCGTGCCTCAACGACACGCTCGAAATCGGAGACGTCAACTGGGGTCGAATCGTCATTGTATACATGTTCGGTAGGCTAGATCTCGAGGACTACGAAGATACCGTAGCCGAGTACGTCGGCGAATACGTGGCCACGAAATTGTCCGGTTGGATCTCCGAACGGGGAGGATGGGTAAGTGTGATTCAGAGGGCGGCAAACACGTTTTCGAGGACGTCAGTTTTCACCGATCGTATCCCGATGTATGTACGAATAATAATAATTTAATAATCATCTATTTTTCTCTCCACTTCAGGATGACTTCGTGGAAATCTTCGGCCGCAGACGTCGAAAGTCGCTCTCCGACCTCACCGTTCCGATCCTGCTGGCGGTCATGTTGGCAACTCCGTTCGTTTTGTCAAACTGCAGATGACTTTAATCACGTTTTGATATCGAATAGAAAGCCGTCGTTTATAACTGTACAAATGTTTAATAAAATCTGTTATTGAATATTAAATTGTAGTTGACATACCAAACAATGCGTCTTTCGTTTAAATCATTGCTTTGTGTATGTGTGCTTGTGTTGTGTGTGAGTGTGTGTGAAAAAAAAGGCCTAGATGTGTATAAGAGACAGCGATCATGTTCTTCGACGGGCCGGATGGTCCTTTCGCTA